TGATGATGATTAGTTGGGCAATCTCTCAACGAGACTCTCTGCATTTTACTTCTACTGGTGAAAATCAAAACACGCGCGCCATGTAATTCGACCGGTAACGAAATTCCACCCACCTTCCTGAAACATGTTTCTCCAAGTATGTCAATGTATGCGCGCAGAAGTCAGTGCATGGTTGCGTCTCCCATGCTGTAGTAGGGTACTTCACACATTAGGGTTTCGAGGCCTTACGAAACCATGGCTGCGCTACTGTGGGCACTCACTTAAACAACGTCCACGACAACTTTCTCAAAATCGCGCTAACTCTCTAGTCTGTTCAAGGCGGCGGAATCATGACCTGCAAAGCCCGATAGAAGCGAAACCTTAAGTAACCTAAAAGGTAGACTGTTCTTCTGTGAATACAAGTACTTAAATTTTCGACAGTGTTTTCCCACACAATCATTATTTAATTGCAGCAGGTAACGCCCGGCACGTGTAGACACATACGCGCCACCGACGTGCCGCGCGCATGCATACAGACGAAAAGAACATCCAGCACATGCACAGAGACACATACAAGACTGCACGAAAAACACACGAGCACCGCGACGCACGTACGCACGCACGCCACGCACGCACGCGGTACGCACGCACATACACGCGACGCACGACCACGAGAGAGAGCGAGAGAGAGAGAGAGAGAGCGAGAGAGAGAGAGAGCGCGGTGGCAAGATGCAGTGTTATGTATGGGCGTAATCTGCATGTATTGTGTCGCCACCTAGTGGACATACCAGACGCACACCCGCTCTCGCGCGTACACTGCGCACGTACACGCATGCACAAATAACACACACTCACACCCACACGCTCACGCGTGCGTGCACACACACGTACACGCATGCACAAATAACACACACTCACACACACACGCACACGCGTGCGTGCACACACACCTACACGCATGCACAAATAACACACACTCACACACACACGCACACGCGTGCGTGCACACACACGTACACGCATGCACAAATAACACACACTCACACACACACGCACACGCGAACGTAAGCACGCACATTTAGAACCGAAGATATCTTTGCAATATCATATGCTTCCCATATCGTAAATCAGTATATTAGGCTTATTCGGATTTTTGAACGCTGCTAACAGTGCATAGAGAACTATAAACATTATATTATTTGCAACAATATCAAATTAACGAATAACTTTCTATGTACACAACTTATTTGTATGCTAATTCGCTTTTAACATGTAAAGGCTAGAAATTCAATGCTTTAATTAATTAATACAACCACGCCATCTACAACAGGCCTATGCAACGCATCAGCTAAACCATATCGTGGCGCATGTTTCCCCACTGGTTCGAACCTACAGTTGGCAATAAGTATGGCTCGTGTTTGCGTACAAGTCAATAGGCTATATGTTCCCACAGGCATATTTGCAACCGTCCCCATCGCCGCATACCTGGGTGCGGGCACATAAAACAAGTGAGCATAGAGCGCAATACTTGTCTTATCACGAGCAATAAATATCCTAAAACTAAGTGACGTGCTGCGACTACTTCACGCCCACCTTATTCTCCCTCAGTTCATAAATCACAAGAACAGTCACACGTATAGCTGTGACCGCACAGTTCCATTTTGCAATTACTTTTCAACATTTGTGATCCTGGTCAAGTGATACACATTAAACCAGATCTAAGGCATCGATTGGCGCACATGACTCAAGGCATAATACACGACTTGGAGTGAGATGACCCGCAGTAAACTAGCGATTCCAAGTGAGCATAAACTCACGATGTGTAATTATTCAAACGCTTAAACGATGACACGGTGTCCGGATGTTTGCAAGGATACTTGCTTATTGTATTATTATAATCAGAGCTCCGCCTGTTATTGTTATACCATAGGCTGTAATCGTGAAAATCTCATCGATTTTGTATGTAATTTCGTGTGCAAACGGTTATCGTGTAATGATTATATTATTATTAGTTGTATCATGTTTTATTCACAAAGCTCGAACATTTATTCTAGGCTATAAAACTCAACACGAGATCTACACAGTGTCTCGTTAGACAATCACAAACAGATCACTCATCACACACTCACGCGCAGCTAGCTCGGGTTCTAATTCTGTATCGCTGCTAACAAGCAAGATGGCACCCGTCATCGTCAGGTGACGAGTTCGTCAGGCTCCTCCGAGACGTACGAAGAGTACATCTTACCGATGTGTCGATACTTGCTCTCGCGCTCCTCCTGCTGTCGCCTTCTTTTCGCCGCGTGTGCAGCGAGCACCAGGATGACGGCGACAGATATGAGACCCATCACGACAAAGGCGAGGAAGCTGATCTTGTATATCGGCGTCTGATGATTGCTCGCCAAGCCTTTAGGAACGTTGCACTTCTCATCGGCGCAGCAGCAGAGTTCCGCGTCCTCGTCCTCCGTCAAACTGATCTGCAATAATGCATTTTGTGTATATATATATATATATATAGCGTCTGAGAGAAGATAATCACTGAAGTTCAATTCAAATTTTGGCTGATAAATGATGACAGCACAGATCTCGTAGATGAGTTGGTTGTGTCAGTATACATATGGATGATTTAGCTGTGGCAGTAGACAAGCTCCGACGTCAACGTAATCAGGTTTCTAGCGTACCTTCTTGCACTTGTTCTCAAAAAACATGCCGTGAAGCTCGCAGAGTCGAGTCGTGTCGCAGAAATACTCCGTTGTTTCGTTTCCGATATGGTGTAAGGATGAACAGTGAGAGATCACTCCATCGCATTCACTTTCGTCTGCGTACTTATGACCAAACCCTGTCAGATATAACCCCCCGTAGAAAGGATAAAACAAGCTTCTGCCAATGTGATTCCATGAATTCTTCCAGCACAACATTCACGAACAAATCTGGTTCATTTTGCTATAATTCAGACGAATCTGGATCTAAATACTGCATCTATGCACGGCATATATACACGGCTCACTTTCAATCTATGCACGGATGAACCTTGATTTACATACAGGTCAGTCTGAACATATCTGCAGCTCATCCTATCTCGTAAATGAGCCTGACATGAAAGGATTTCATGAAACCTCTTCCTTGGTTATGTTCGGCGTGATAGTTTGGGGGTAGGACAGATGAGGTACCTGATGTAGTTCCCACGTAGCAGCTTTCTATTGCAGTCGGATAGCCGAAGTCAATCATCTCGTACGGTATGTTGCACATGTCTTCGTCACAACAGGACAGAGATAACCCAGTGTAACCGGAGTATGTCGCCTGTAGCAGAGAAAGTATGGATTAAGCAAACCTACCCGATTTAGAGTACCAAGGAGTTAATCTACATTATTTATAAATATTAACGGCGGATAAAAGATTTTTGTTGAAATACGTTTCGTTGAAATCGTGATAAATTGTTTGCATTGCATTTACACTAGACAAATGCTAATCTTTCATGTTATTTAACCTTGATGTGTTTAGTAGTGACTGAGACTATCAAATACGCGGTATTGTTTTGTAGATCCAGTTTTATTAATATATACAATTAACCCAATGTGCGCGTGTGCGTGTGTGTGTGTGTGTGTGTGTGTGTGTGTGTGTGTGTGTGTGTGTGTGTGTGTGTGTGTGTGTGTGTCAATAATATGATACGTAACAAGTCGTGCTTAAATCCAGTTTTATTAATATATACAATTAACCCAATGTGTGTGTGTGTGTGTGTGTGTGTGTGTGTGTGTGTGTGTGTGTGTGTGTGTGTGTGTGTGTGTGTGTGTGCGTGTGTGTCAATAATATGATACGTAACAAGTCGTGCTTAAACAAAGCATAATTTAACATAATTTAATTATCAGATTGTATATATTGCAAGAACAATATCGTATAGTGATAACACATAAACTACGCACGCTTTCATGTAAACCACTGCCGTACGTTCCACAGGCTTCCTTGTCAGAGTCACACCGAAATTCCGTGACAGTCGTCATTGAGTTGTCCTCGTTTGTCCGATTAAACTTGTAGATGAGGCAGTAGTTACCCGTGTCTGTAATCGTAATCGCATATTATGTTTGGTGTGAGTGCCTATGTGCGTGCGTGCGTGCGAGCGAACGTGCGTGCGTGCGTGCGATTGAGCGTGCGTGCGTGCGTGCGTGCGTGCGTGCGCGCGTGCGTGCGAGCGAGCGAGCGAGCGTGCGTGTGTGCTTGTGGTTTTGCAGGCGCATGCCTGTGTTTGTGTGTGCCACGCTATGGCACGGCCACTCACCTTCATTATTTCCATCAGGAATAATACACCGCTCAAGTTCGGGGGTGTCTAAATCAGAGTTCCACGTCCCGTTAAAGCATTGCACAGGGTCGGCGGTGACCGCATGTCTGTAAAATGGTAATTTCATGTGGGCGATAAATATAGGATCTCATTCAAGACGGAGGGTTTTATATGTAAACTTTCGATATCTTTCACTAGAGATATTCTTACTTTGCAAGAGCTCTCACACGTTACCCTGTGCCCTCGACCCACTAACCTCTGTTAGTAACTGTTCTTCGATAAAAATATATATACTTACATGTTTAACAACACAGATAAGGCGACGAATACATTGCAAACGCTCGTCAATTTCATTCGAGATTCAATCAGCGCCACCATTTTGCTTTTCGATCTTTCGCAAAAATCCTATCAGGTATGAAAGGTGAGGGGCATAGGTAAACATCGCGATGTGTAATATATATGATGTCACGTGCGCAGGTAAGCCAATAGACGTGTCAATATGCGACGGCTGCAGATTAACGATCGTCTAACGGTCGAGTGGCGTATATCCACGTCTTGTTAGGAAATATTCATGTAATACGGCTTATTATTAATATTATTATTATTAGTATTAAATTTTTATTGCATGCCATTCAAATATAAATACATGTACTGAACCCTGACATATGTATTGAGTCCTATACATACATGACTTGCGAGAAAAAAAGTGCGTGGTAGGAGTAACATGCTAGCGGGGTAACCGTTTATTTATTACGATAATGTGGTGAAGTATAATGTGGTAATAAAACTCAAAAATCATTAGATTAAATTTAATGTATGAGTCGTAACGTTGTAAGTAGATAACGGTAATAGGCATACACGTAGTTAGTAAGTTTGTATATTATCACTGATGCATTATACTTATATATCACGCGTCTACGCACAAACACATCCACACATTGTCCGCACGCAGACGTTATAACTCCGCTTTGCTAATCTGAGGGTGCGGGTTTAACAGACCCATTACTGGGGTCCGCGTCGGCTCGGACTAATCCACACACACATAAATACTAAGAATAATAAGTGATTTGATTTGAAAATGTCTGTCTGGACCGGATCCTTTTGGGGGCAATGGATGATGAATATAATATCTATATTTAATATATATATATGACTTCTATATATACATATCTATAAATATATGTTAATAATCATTGTTTGTATTGTATGTGGTCTTGCTGTTGTTTGTATTGTATATGTATTGTTTGTATTGGTATTGTACTTGTATTGTTTGTTTATTGTATTGTATTGTATTGTATTGGTTTGTATTTATGTATTTATTCGTATTGTATTGTACTCTGGTATTTGTATTGTAATTGTATTTTTATGTTTTATTGATTGTATTTGGTTATTGTATCATGTACTTGGATATTTGTATGTTCTGTTTATTGTCATTGTATTGTATTGTATTGTATTGTATTGTATTGTATTGTATTGTATTACTTGACATTGTATTGTATAGTATTTTGACAGGAAGTATGTATGTAAAGTAGGACAGGATGTAAGACGAAGCAAGTATAAATTTTTAATACTAGTAATAATAATAATGATAATAATTGTGATAAGTGTTCACTCATTACTTACGGCACGACCACTGAGCTCTAATAATAGAGCTATTAGTTTATTATTTAAATTTAAATTAGAGCTCAGTGGGCACGACGATATCATACATATATTCACCGCTAGATGGCAGAGGTATCGTGTGATTACTTTCGTAAGCACCCTGTTGAGATTTTTGTTGTGGTTATTTCGATACATATCGCGGTTATATAAACAGCCACGGGTATCTTACATTGTGTGTAAAACGAACAAGTACTCGATCTTCTTACCTGTAACTTCTCAAGATGAGCTACACTGATCAGAAAGGAGACGGACCGAGTTTTGTAGGAATAAGGTTTTGTCAAGAATGGTAGGTCTTGTGACTGTTTACGCTCAGTCATAGTTAGCTCCAAGAAACGGTATTGCTAGGGTTAGAATACCCCTATAGTCAAGACAATCCGTCGCACAGCCTGGTCGGGCTAAGTCATAGTTAGACCCACAGGGGCATGTAGCTACTAGCGTACTCCTATCGTACTCCGTATCATAAATATTCTGTTTCTACCTGATTTGGCTGCACTCTAATAACATGCAAGCTTTCAAATAAACCCGGAGTAGATTGGCAAACACCCAAGGTGGACTGGCTATATTCTATGTTGTATATATTATGGGAAGGGTGGCATGAAAGTCCGAGGTCGGGCTATACCACACTTTTCAAACGACCCAGTGCAACCACAAAAACTTCGTTAATCCCTTTATTCTTGGGCGCATTCAACACATAACATGATAAACTTTATCTCCAAATCGAATTCGCACCAGTCATTTACTGTTTGTCTTTGAACCAGCTGCCGAAAGTTCATCCACAAACGGCCACAATGAAAAATTCCAAAAACCTGTCTCAACCATCAACGCCATTTACACGCACACTACCGATTAGATTAGGGGTCGGATTTCAGAATTACGGCTTAGCAAAACGTCAACACGGCGCCCTTTCGCCGATACACTTCTATTCCACACTTTCAAACACCATTTGTCAACTCACCAGGTCTGTTAATGTCATATATCGGTCAATCATATACCGAAATACATACACTTTCTTATGGGTGCAGCCATATTTCTGACGTCATAATTCGCATACCGCACAAACTGCGGAGGTAACGCTCATTGGTTGATCTTAAAAATCAGTAAATCTCAAAAATGGCTGCACCCATAAGAAAGTGTATGTATTTCGGTATATGATTGACCGATATATGACATTAACAGACCTGGTGAGTTGACAAATGGTGTTTGAAAGTGTGGAATAGAAGTGTATCGGCGAAAGGGCGCCGTGTTGACGTTTTGCAGAGCAGTAATTCTGAAATCCGACCCCTAATCTAATCGGTAGTGTGCGTGTAAATGGCGTTGATGGTTGAGACAGGTTTTTGGAATTTTTGATTGTGGCGGTTTGTGGATGAACTTTCGGCAGCTGGTTCAAAGACAAACAGTAAATGACTGGTGCGAATTCGATTTTATTACTTATCGAGTGTATGCCGTTTTTCTGGAGATGAATTGAATATGAAAACAACCAGACAGCGCCATGTCCGCATGTTCGGTGCGACTAAAATCGGCAATGGACGCTGACTTTCACAGTGCGTAGGCCTAAACACAAGGCAAGTACAATCTTCTGCAATGATAATTAT